ACATAGCAAGTTCCAGGCCAGCTGGGGCTACAGGGAGACCCTATCTCAAACCCAGCCCCACCAAAAGGCAAAATTAAACCCTTAGCTTTGGCCAGGATAGTGCTTTGTTCTTTTTTATTTTTTTCGTGTGTGTGTGTGTGTGTGTGTGTGTGTGTGTGTGTGTACATGCATGTGCATGTTTAGGTACATGTGCATGTATAGTTATGCATGCGTGTAGAGGTCAGAGAACAACCTGGGGTGTCATTCTTCAGGAATGTCGTCTACCTTATTTTTGAGATAGGCTCTCTCCCTGGCCAGCCAGCAGCCTCAGGGACCCACCTGTCTACACTTCCCCAGTGACGGATGTACAAGTGCATGCTGTTCACTTTACCTTCTTTGCCCATCATCTCCTCAGCCCCAGCACTCCACTCTGCCTTTAACATCATATTTTCCCGATTTCTTGGTATATTTTGTTTCTCCATAAAGTCTTCATGAATCACAAGCCATCACATTTTTTCTCATTTGTGTGGAAATAGTCATCTTTCTTCTTGGTTAATAAGCCATATCGTAAACACATTTTTTTTTCCTTAAGCTATAGTCTTAAGAAAAGAAAGGCAGGGTTGTTACTTTCTGGCATTTTGTGAATGGTCGACACCTAGAAAATATGCAGAGAAAGCTGGACAGTTCAGGCCTCCCTAGACTCTTATGTCCTTGTCATTAAGAGGGGCTGTTTCTATGGAAAAATATTCTCAGCAGTAGTATTTGGGTCAATTAAGAATTGCAATGTCATTATTAAAATGGTCACTGTTGATTGGTATTTGATTCTTGCTTGATGAAAAGGCAACATCTCAGGGGTTTATGGAAGAGTGTAATGTTTATTCCCCTTTCTTTAGCAGTGACCAGCAGGAGATCTCTTAGTGCTTTAGCCCCAAGTCTTTGTTTCATAACAAACTCCAATTCCATTAAATGACAAACCGGCTTCCTAGAAATTTTTCTACCTGTTTCTTTACCCTTAAATATGAAAAGTGGCATCTTTGAATACAGCTCCATTGGTAGAATGCTTGTCTATCATACACTAAGCCTTGGATAAACCAGGTATAGTGGTACAAGCCTGTAACCCCAGTACTCAGGAGGAGGCACCATTGAGTACATAGGAAGTTTGAGACCAGTCAAGGCTACATGAAACCCTATCTCATGTAGGATGGAGGGAGCACTGATGAGATGACTCCATTGATAAAGTGCTTGCTGTGCAAACATGAAGACCTAAGTTCAGTTCCCTGCATCCACATAAAAAGCCAGACATGGTGGGACACATTCATAATCTCAGCATGAGGAAGGAGAGACAGGAGAATCCCTAGAGCTCTTGGGCCAACCACTCTAGTCAAGTTCAGTGAGAGACCCTGTCTCAAGAAATTAAGGTGGAAAGCCACTGAGGAAGATAGCTGATGTCAACCCCTGGCCTGCATGCACATCTATACACAAGGAGATACACACACACACACACACACACACACACACACACACACACACACACGAATCTATTGTACTGTGTTCATCTTGCTTCATGACAGTTGGTGGGAACTGTGGTCCATATTGTGGCATCATCTGACCTGTCAATTAGCAACAAGCCCCAAAAACACTTGTAAATTCTGTCCAGCTCACATGAGGACCGAAGAATTCAGTTAAACTCTTAATAAATGCTGGCATGCTCCTAATATTCTCCTATGTACTGCAGAACTCACAACTCTTCTGCTTCATAAGAGGCCTTTGTGCAGCATTGAGGACATACAAGAACATAAGACACAAAAAGTGTAAGGTGTGCCATGCTTTCTATCAAACTCCAAACTGGAACATAGGTTCTGGCAGGGTGCATCTGAGCATCCATCTTATTGTGGCATGGCCAAGAGCAGCAGGCATATTCCAGGAGTCATTTGGCATTGCTGCTAAAGTCCCTGTTAGAGGAAGGCCAGCTGCCTTGGATACCAGGGAAAATACAGGCTGAAATCATTAGAAGCGTCTGACGTTTCAGACATGCATAGGACATTGAGCAATGGCATAAATATTAACAACACAGTACGGTTCCAAAACAGATGGAGTCAAGAAGGACCTTGAGCTTCTGCTCCTCAGCCTCCACCTCCAGAGTGCCTCTCTTCTAAGGAAGGAGTTTTAACTCTGGCCTCTACGCACATGCATGTACATATACACATATATCCTCACACACACATGCATACAACCACATGCTAAATAAATGAGAGACTTGCCTTGTGCTGAGCGTACCCAGTGAAAGCCGCATAAAAATCCAAATGAGGACATTGTTCCGGCAGTCAGCTAGTGCTTTGCTCTGTGGTCCTGACCAAGCCTCTTTATTTTTGTCTCTTTCTTATCTGGACAAATGGTGGTGAGGAGATTGACACACAGAAATTTCAGTTCACAATTATACATCCTGGAAAATGCAAGCTGCTGTTTAGACTTGAAAAA